GGGGCGCGGCTTTTGATGAATGGTTAGCAGCATGCAACGGGAATGTTCCTACTGTTGCGTTTTCTACCCAGTTGCAAGCAATCTGAATGTTTCCCCGTTCGTGAAATATTTCGGATGGGTTTCGGATCGGCTAGGGGTAAATGGCAAGCGGGTTTTTATGCTTCACACGAGGATTACTTATTTCGAACGCAATTTCATCAGGATTAAAATCGTCTTGAAACCGCCCTATCTTTTCTCTTTCCAGTAACGCTTTGTGCCACTGCGCCCCGTGGGTTGAAGGCGAAACTGATTAACCGTTGATGCAAGGTGTTTTATTCGAACCAGAGTAGTGTTCGAAGGCACTACTCTCTAGCTCACACTCGGATTAGACTGATCTTCTTCACACTAGTCGGCCCTTATATACGTGGCTTGAGGGGCGGAGCCGGAAGTGCTCGCTATTGGTCGAGCATTCGAAGTGCTGACGTCACACATTCGGCGGGAAACTAGGCGTCGATCGGTCGAGCATCCGCTTGCATATCGATCAAGAGCTTCAAGAAAAACTTCATAGCTTCAACAGGTAACAACAGGTAATAACAGGTAAATTTACAACAAAGTAACCAAAACATAACATGCACCTCCAACGGAGAAAGAGTCGTCCCGACTCTTGTCGATCCCTTCTTCTTAGGGGTGTTTCCCCCCAGACTTCCTTTTCCACCTTCTCTCCGGCGGGCTAGCACTTCTGCCCTTACCTCTCTGATGGCCACGAGGCTGCTGAAACGTGAGGTCCAGCGAGTGGCGCTTTCGCTCAGGATCGGGCATGACGAAAAAATTGGGCTTGAATTCTTCTTGCCGGCGTTTCGCTCTGGCCAGCTTTTCCTGCCGGCGCCGCTCTTTCAGCTCTGGCGATGCTGGTCCGAACGCTTTCAACTTCAACACGTCCCCCACCGTGATCCGCAACTTCTCCAGAAAAAGTACGATTTGTCTGCCTATAAAAGGAGCCCTCTTGTGTCGAGGATCCGTCCCCATGCAGACGGCGGGATGCGTGTGGGGCGAAGACTCCAGCACTTCACTGTAATGGTCGCGAACCATGGCTTCAAAGTTGCGATCTTCCTTCGTAATGAAGCGCACAAACTCTGCGCATACTTCTCCCATGCGCGTCCATTCTTCTCTGTTATTGTCTTCGTATGGGCTGGGGAAGAATAGGAGCGTTCCGCCTGGCTGAAGATGCCGTTTCCAATCGGCCGACGATGCATCTTGCCTCATAGATGCGTTGATCGAGGGATCGCTATTCTGTGCCACACCTATTATACATGGCGCGTTACAATCCTTCCGTTTCTATCAATCATTCTGAGCTAGGAGTTCCCAGCTTTCATATACATAAACAGTCATGTTCTCATCGTAGTCCACTTCGAGTGGACTCTACCGAACAATGAGGGTAGGGCAACGAACAGCCCCGCTCTGCTTTCACAAATAGTCGAATCGCGCCCAGAACGCCGGACATGCTTTTCATAGACATCGATAGGGCAGTCGTGAGGTACGCCCCGACATCATATTTCACAGGCCATGGAAATAAGGCTGGATGCTCGAACCTGATCCCCATAGCCTCATCGACGGCTTCCGAATAAAGGTGGCAGCGACGGCGGTGGGCTTGCATGGCAAGGGCGAGACCGTAAGGCGTCATATACTGCGAGTTCTTCCTGCGCAACTCTTCTTCCTTTCGTTCGTCCTCCCAAACACTCCTGTTCGGAAATGGATGCCACGTTCGCCAGCTGGAACATGTCTCCGACCTTCTTTGACCGAGCCATAGGGTGCGTCAGCGTCGGGATTGCTACATGTGCCATCTGATCGAAAATACCGCAACTGCATTTCCGTCGCAAGTTCAAAGGATGGTCCATCGAGATGAGAGTCCTGAAACAAACCACTTTTTTGGAAAGAGAATTACTGGAGTCAGGGTTTTTCCTGGGTCTCCCTCTCTTTCTGCGTGTTGTGGTTGTCCTAAGGGGTTCGTCTGACACTCCCGCTGGTAACTTTACCAGCATGTCAAAAGGTACTCTAACCGGGTCTCGAACCCCTTCTATCCAAGTTATGAGGGCGGCTGTTCTCACTTCGTTTCAAATAATCACGCGATAAGGCCATCCACACGGGTTTTACGAGCTTTGGGTGACAGACGCCTGCTTTCTCCTGGGCCTTCATGTACACATCGGTCAGCTCGACCTTCGGTGGCCTCGAGCATACTCGTCTGTTACGGTCATATGCGACTTTCATCCTCTGCCGCATCTTATCAGACTCCTCGCGTGCATATTCACGAGCTAGTTTCGTGGCTGCTGTTACTTCCTGTGCGTAGCTCTCCACGTCCACGACATACTTGCTAGGTTCTTCACGTGGCACTGCGTTCCACGGAATATAGGGATCAAATCCGTGCAGCAAGTAGAAAGGCGACTCTCCCGTTGTCTCATGCGCTACTGTGTTGTACGCCAGCACGCAATACGGGAGCATTCTATCCCACTCGGTGGGTACAGAGACCTTTTTCCTAAGCATCTGAATGAGCGTTTGATTGAATCTCTCAGTCAGACCATTTTCTCTGGGATTGTATCCTTTTGTGAAAACGTGGTCTATACCCATCAGTGTTTTGAGCTCTTGCATCAGTCGATTTAAATGCAAACTCGCCTGCCCTGATAACAGAATAGGATGCATTTTTGGTGACAGAACTTCCCTCAGCGATCCACCTTTCAAAGAATACCCTGGCAACCACCGTTGCACTTTTCGAGGGGATAGCGTATGCACCTGCATACTTTGAAAAGTGATCCACCACGCTGAGTATGTAGCGATTTCCATCAGTCGTCAGTCCCATCTCCAGAATGTCTATTCCTACCAGTTCGTATGGCTTAGAAGTTACTATTGGCTTTAGCGCAGGCGTCATCGGATGCCGATGGTTGTGACAGAGACATTCTCGACATTCCTGGGACCATTGAGTCACGTCTCGCTTCATGGTCTCCCAGAACAGACGCTTCGACAGCTGCTTAACCAGCTTTTTCGGGCTAAAATGTCCTGCCAATAGTCCCGCATGTGCCTCTTCAAAGACTGCTCGTCTCTTCGACGACGGCACAACTCTACGAACTGTATCGTTCTCTAGTAAGCCTAGGTAGCCCTTGTCCATAACAAAGTCTGCCACTTTGAACTTTTGGGACATCTTTGGAATGATGATTTCCTCATCCAGATTCCCTGCTTCCAGGCTACCTATGATCTTGCTATACGTGGGATCTTGTCGTAGTTCGGTCGTCCACTCGGGCTCTTCCTTTGTCGCTGCTACAATGATTTCATTGGTGATCTCCTCACCTTTTACTTCCTCATTCAGGGTAGCACCGCGACTTAACGCATCCGCAACACGATTGGCAGCCCCTTTCAAGTAGACGATCTTGAGATTGTATTTTTGCAGTTCGAGCGCCCACCTGAGTACTCGTGCTGACACGTTTGTTCGTCTGAATAGAGCTGTCAAAGCTTGGTGGTCAGTATACACCTCAACCGGAAGCCCGTACACAAACATGTGAAACTTCCTCAGGGCAAAGACCACAGCCAAAGCTTCCAAGTCGGTGACATGATAGTTCTTCTCACATCGAGACAGACCCTTCGACGCAAAGAACACTGGATGTAGAAATCCATCGTCGCCTTCCTGACTCAATACAGCTCCCAGACCTTGGATACTTGCGTCAGTATGAATTTTGAACGGTCTTCTACCGCTCCTCGCCGCTTCAATATCAGGTTGCGCTAGCACTGGCGCCTGCATTATTATTGCCTTCAGCTTGTCAAAGCATGACTTCTTCATGGAATCCCATTCAAATGCCACTTTCTCGGACGTCATCTCATGGAGCGGAGCGGCTACCTTAGAGAATCCCAAAACGAACTTCCGGTAGTAAGAACACATACCGAGGAAGCGTCGTAGGTCCCGACAGGCGCGACTGGGTATAGCGGGTACCTTCTGATCGCTTCCACCTTGGCTGGATCCATGTGCAACCCATCACAATCTATTACGTGGCCAAGGAACTCCACTTTCCTTTCCAGCAACACGCATTTTTTGGGTTCAAGCCGGAGTCGTGCTTTCCAGTTGCTTGAAAACCGGCAAGTTCAACACATGTAATGTGTCTTCTCTACCGTTTCTGTGGCTACCATGATGTCATCCAGGTAGCAGAAGACTTCATCTCCCAGTAGAGGCTCGAGAACCGCATGCATCATGCGTTGAAATACCGGAGGTGAAGATGCGAGCCCGAAAGGTAGTACGCGGAATTGGTACAGACCTTCCGTTGTGGCAAACGCCGATTTCTCTTTTTGCAATGCACTCAATAGACCCTTATTTTTGCCAGTAACCTGATGACAAATCCAGGGTTGAAAAGTACCTTCGACCCTTTAAACTCTGCAGAATTGTATCAATCGTTGGCAGTGGGTGACTATCTATTCTTGTCACCTGGTTGAGCTTACGATAGTCTACGCAGAGTCGGAGTGTTCCGTCCTTCTTCTGAACCAAAGACGATGGGTGAGGCCCAGCTCGATTTACTTGGTTCGATAATCTTTCGCTCATGCAAATCATTGGAGAATCCGTCGGAGCTCCACGCGAGTAGCCAGTGGTATCGGGCGAGGCTTTTGTCGTATCGGAGGTGCCTCACCGGTGTCGATGTTGTGTTCCACCAGCGTTGTCTGAGTAAGCTCTTGCTCGCTCACCGCAAAGACTTGAGCGTAGCTCTTGACGAGATTATCAAACATTCGTCGCGCTATTCTCCGTGTTTGTCCTGTTTGTCGCGGAGGGCAATTTCAAAAGTCTGTCTTCCCGGTCCGTAGGAGCTTCCACTGTGCGCCCCAACATATCTCCGGAATACGTGACAGGCTTGACTTCGACGACTTTCGCGGGTTCGAGGGTTCCCACCTCCTCCCCCAGTCGGAAGATCTTTGCTCCTGCAAAGGTGTTTGTTACCGGCACCTCAACTGCCTTCTCTCCACCTTCCCATACGACATCGGGAAGTAAGTGGTCCTTAGACCAGAAAATTCCTCCTTGGGTGAGGTCCTTGCATTGAATAGGTACCGATCTTGACTGTCCTGGAGGTATGTACACCCTTTTCGCAGCAGTCACTGAAGAGAGAACAGGGTGGTTTACTCCTCCGACATCTTGCTTTCTTTCCGCGTTCATTTACCGGAACCTGCTCGCCTACCGTGATCGAAGGTAGCGCCACAGACTCTGAGCAGTTTCGCTGAGCGAGGTCATATCCAAGTGGCCGCAGTGCATTGGTCCCAAGCACCAACATGCCGTCTCCTCCAGCCATGACAAAGGCAGCGATCCGCTGCTTCTTACCGTCGCTCATCTGCAGCGTCAGTCTGATCGCTCCTTTGAAGGACATTCTGTTGCCCGAAGCATCGAATACCTGCTTTTGCTGGTCCAACGGAATCTCTTCGACGTCGGCATCCAAGTCAAAGCCGGACTCCAATGCTGCCTGGAGTACTTGCAGTGGTATGATGCTGATTTGCGAGCCAGTGTCCAACAACGCTTTGCGTGAAGTGCCTAGAAGATGCACATCCGTGGTCGTTTGTTCACCGACCAATTCGCACTTGTTGTCGACCTCTACTGCTCCACATATCCATTTCCTCAAAGACGCGGTAAAAATTCTCGCCGGCTCTGCTTGCTGAGCCGATCTGGTAACTTTTTCAGTAACAGTAGCGTTCTTCATCGGCATCGTACAGTCCTTTTTCAGATGTCCTTGTTTGTTACAGTTGAAACACTTTCCGACGGGTCTCCGCTGAGCCGTCGCATCGCGGACATCGAGCTTACTGCTTCCACTCTCCAATGTGTTCACAGTGGTTTGGACTTGCCGAGCATCATGACTGCGATCAACTTTACGTAATCTGCCGTTCTGGCTCTTTCGAGCATGACCTTCCATGGCATTACGCATTGCAGCCGCTACTTGCTTACTCCTTTCACATCTTTGTGCCATGGCTTTCACCATGTCATACGCCTGCTCCTTTGGAGCTATCTCCATTGTCGTAAAAAGTTGGAGGTATTCTGGCCAGTCGGTTAGCTGGCTCACCAGTTCACCTGCCCTTGTGCGGGACAGCTCTTCTTCCGATGCGTCTGGATAGGCCTCTCTTGACAGCCTTTCCAGTTCCAGGCAGAATTCTGTTACGCCTCCACGTTTCTTGAGGTGTTTCAGATCCAAATACGCCTTCATCTGCATCGCCGAATTGTCCACAGCAAGCTTTGCTCGCAGAGCTTCTACAAGGCTTTCAAAGTTTCCCTCTCTTACGAGCTTCGGTAGGGATTTCGCTACCGCTTTTGGGTAACCTTGCAGTTTAGAGAGCAACAGTTGGGTGAGCAGGTCATTCCGTAACCCAAGGCTCTGGTATTTCATCGTGAACCTCTCAAATGATGAATTCATCAAATCCCTTTCCTTGAGGGTCACTATACACCTCCACTTCGGGTAGGGCCATAGCCGCAAATATGGACCCCATAGCATTATCGAAGTGGAAAGACTCACCTCGGCTTCGGCACGGAATCGACGACGATTGGCTCGAGTCCCTGGTCCTCGGCCTCCACTCGGTCGTCTTTCCTTGCTGCAAGTACGTATTCTCAGTCTTTCCACTGAGACATGCAGGCTCTCTGCCTAGCCGAAGGGGCTTACCTTGCGCCGCCGCCACTGGATCAAAAATCCAAGATGGTACTCCACGTTGTCGAAATCGCCGACATTCAGTTGTTCATACACTATCGGCGGCGCGCTTGTGCTGCATTCTGCTCCAGCAGGCTGACGAGATTCCTGCAAGAAAAGAGCATTAGAAATGCTTCACAGTACCAGCTTTCCTTTTTCAGGCTTATCTGGCTGCCTCGCTGTTGGTGCTGCGTGAGTTTCCCACGCCTTAGCGCTCATAATCACTGAGAGCGCTTCAGACACCACGGCTTTTAGTGCTCGACCCTCGACTTCTAGCTCCTTGAGGTTCTCCAGCTCCCGCTCAATGAGGCTACACTCCTCATTTATCTTGAGCTTGCCGTCTCCTCGAGCTGTTTAGTCGACCTCGTCGAAATTCCTTGCACTAATTCAGCCGGAATCTCACGCAGACTTTTCAATGACTCCGCGATAGCCTCTATTGAATTGCGCACCTGTGTGCCTCTAGCCGTAAGGCTATCAACCTTTTTCAACAGGCTATCCAGCGACTTCCTCATTGCCGACAGCTGATCTGCTGTGGTTTCTTCATTCAGGAGCATCTGCTCCAGTTCGGCTGGACTGAGTCCTACCTCTTCTGCCATCATACTATCTGTAATAGTTGATGTTCTTTCTCTATCGAACGCGTACGAGACGTTTCGAATAGAACCGCGAATCCTCCCGCTTACAGGCAGTACGCACTCCCCAACCAACAATAACAAGCCCCGCCACGGACTTCCACGTGACGGATCCCTGTTTACAGTCAGGGGTACGCTGCCTATCAGCGGCAGGATTCGCGCCTTAGCCGGTCTGAGCGGCCTAGCAGGCGGACACCCGAACCGGGAATTCGAACGCCGGACCTCTCCGACATGTGTACCGGAGGTAGGAACCCTCGAACCCGCGAAAGTCGTCGAAGTCAAGCCTGTCACGTATTCCGGAGACATGTTGGGGCGCACAGTGGAAGCTCCTACGGACCGGGAAGACAGACTTTTGAAATTGCTCCGCGACAACAGGACAAACACGGAGAATAGCGACGAAGTTGATAATCTCGTCAAGAGCTACGCTCAAGTCTTTGCGGTGAGCGAGCAAGAGCTTACTCAGACAACGCTGGTGGAACACAACATCGACACCGGTGAGGCACCTCCGATACGACAAAAGCCTCGCCCGATACCACTGGCTACTCGCGTGGAGCTCCGACGGATTCTCAATGATTTGCATGAGCGAAAGATTATCGAACCAAGTAATCCGAGCAACCAAGTAGTAATTAGTGGTGAGCTATCCGCGTCTGTCACATGCGAGGAGGTCGCCGGGTTCGAATCCGGTTCGGCCCCCCAAGTCACGGGTGCCACCTCGGCCCCGTGGGTTGAAGGCGAACTGATAACCGTTTGATGCAAGTGTTTATTCGAACCAGAGTAGTGTTCGAAGGCACTACTCTCTAGCTCACACTCGGATTAGACTGATCTTCTTCACACTAGTCGGCCCTTATATACGTGGCTTGAGGGGCGGAGCCGGAAGTGCTCGCTATTGGTCGAGCATTCGAAGTGCTGACGTCACACATTCGGCGGGAAACTAGGCGTCGATCGGTCGAGCATCCGCTTGCATATCGATCAAGAGCTTCAAGAAAAACTTCATAGCTTCAACAGGTAACAACAGTAATAATCAGGCTAAATTTTAACACAAAACGTAACGATAACATAAAACTTTTCAATAAACTTTACATTTTCCTGAAGACCCGCTAGTTCAGGAGATATTTTAGATGGGTCACAGATGCCCTACCCTCTGACCCACCCGAGAAATCGACTCCTCCTGTGCCATTGTGAGGATACACCTTCGGAAACTTTAGTGTGCCTTCAAAACACATATTTCCCTTCAAATGAGTGAAAGAGGAGCTCGGCTATCACTGATCGATTTGGTCCGAGTGTGCGCCGTGCATTACGCTCCTACGCAGAGGTGGTGGAAAGGTGTAAATTCTGATTTCAGGTGCTTTTATCCATGCGAGCAGAGATGTTTGTTTAGGGTTTGGAAAGGACAATACGCACGAATCTGTTTGAGACGTATTATTTAGTCATCTACGTACTTACGAGTTCATGCTATTAACTGATATTTATTTATTTATTTATTTATTTATTTATTCTTGCTATATTTGCCATATTGCTAATAAATTTTTTATTATTTTGTAGTCCTATTTACATCTGGGTCTTCTGCAGCTTTCCGTTCCGTTCCATCAAACTTAGCAATGACACTTTTGTACTGTTTGATGCCTAGCGAGCCTACTTTTGCGATACTCCCCACGTCCCCCGCGGCCAAGTACGAACCCATTTTTGGGGATTTCGCATGAAAAGAGGGCTGTTAAACGTAGCAGTTAAATCTGTAAAGAATACACTCATAATAATTTTCATTTTTTTAACATCTTGACTTCCATAGCTCCACTCCCACTATCAACTGAAATGTCGAAGCATTGCCCGGCTCTGAGTGACCCTTGAGATTACGACCCCCCCTCCCCAGCGGCCAAGTACGACCCCCCTATGGGTTTCGCACAACGATGCTGTACCCTGGCGAGAGAACGTTTGGCTGACAGATGCATTGCAGCCGAAATTGGGCCGTGCCGCAAGGCACCTTGCCTTGCGAAGTGTACTGCTACTCGCCTATCGTTTTCAAAAAGGTATCCATGGAAAGCAGAAGGACTCGTGAGTTCGTGAAAGAGTGGACAAGTCTCCTTGGCGACCATATGACCAACGGCGCTGCAGGCAACAAAACGTATACTCTCAGTTCCGCGTGCAAATGCTTGTCTTGCGGAACAAGGAACAAAGTGCACAAGTGTCACGCGTCTGTGGTTGCTTTATGTCACCTTCTCAAGATACGAAGGTGGTACAGGATACGCGAGTGCGCTTCTGGATGGCAAATGTACAGAGACATTTTACCGATCACTTAATTAAGAGAACTGTCTTTAAGTACGCTGTCGCGAGCTGTCATCAAAGTACGAAGGGCACAATAATTACCTGTGAAGCCTCTAGGAACAATCTTGATCATTGGCATCACTTCATGTGATAGGGAAACGCTCTTGATACCCATCTCATGAGCAATTTTCTTCACTTTCAATTCATGAGCAGGATAACTAAAAGAAACTTTCAAAACAATGAACTGAGACAACTTGCCCTAAAAGGTGAACGGTTACATGAATGAGTGAAGGAACGCCACCGCAACACTCTTTATTCCTTTCGACTTGATAGCCTTCAGAATCTCCCTGACTTCGACGTCATTAGGTTCTTTTTCCACGATCACCTGAATGTATGACGGCTCATCCCCATCATTTCACTTTCTACTCATCCACATATAACGGAAATTATCATGGCGACTAGATGTCATATCAATTATTAAAAGACGACAAATAGCAAAATCGACAGCTCTCGTACAGCACGATCGCCTTGCGGGTGCGCGTA